TTTTGACAAAGAGGTATGTTCCTTTCAAAATACATAAATTCAAACAAGAATTTGCTTACTTAATTTAAAAAAGTCACAGAAAATGCAGGTAACTCGAAATGAAATAAAAATGATTCATTGTTTCCATATTTATATTTAACATATCGTTGTCTTATAGTAAAAAGTTGCAAAGCCCACTTTTACAAATTTTACACGAGAGGAAAAAAACTTTTTCTTCAAGTAAATCGCTTTTTTAAGTTATGGTTTTTTTAGTAAATGTAGATATAGATATGTATGTATCATTATTATCATTTCTTTTAAATACAAACATTATTTCGCATTAATTTAAAAATAAATCTGAAACTTTTTCATACATTTTTTAAAGTTTTCTAGGAAATAATTATTAACGTTAAGGGAACAGACATTGACTTTTCCACCAGACAGCTGGTTACTTTGACAGCGTTCCAAGCCACCATTCGGCCAAGCAAGTTTTCAAAGTAAATCAAAGCAAATTGAAGTCAGCAAGGCGCGCAAAGCAAGCCTGCATTGGGCCAGCGCCTTAAGTAAAAAATTTTCAAACGAAATTTAATTTTCTAAAATTTTGTTGAGTATTTTCCTGCATTAGAAATTTAAAAATGGATAAAACAACTTTTGACAGATTTTTCAAGAAAACTAAATTCGATCTTTTAACACTAAAAAGTAGCAAAAGAAAACGAAGTTTTAAATATTAAAATAACTAAAGAAATTTTAAATATGTACCTATGTATTAAAAAACCTTTAAATTTTTAATAAAATGGCAAGTCAAAATTTCTATAAAATTTATAAATTTTATTTAAATATGTACATATGGGCGTATATGGCAATTTTTTTCTTTTTGATTTTAATATGAACTCAAAATAACAAAAAAAAACAATTAAGAAAAATCCCAAGCAAAAAATTTTCTTTATTTTTTCTCAAAATAACTTAAAAAGTAAAAAAAAGTCTTTTTAAATTAAATTAACTAAAAAATTAATTAAAAATCTTACAGAAATTAAAAAAAGTATGTGTACATACTAGGGATGTTGCGAATGTGGAGTTTTAGACATCCGCGGATGCGAATGCGGATGGGAATATCTAACCGCTAACATCCGCGGATGCGGATGCGAATGCGGATGTCAAGTATTTTTAAGAAACAATTAGAATCTATGTAGCATAATTGTGTAAACAGCACTTACAAGCCAAACCAGGTGTTAGGCTTTTTTAAAGCTTTTTAAAAAGAATTATTCATTCTGTATGTAACTTCATCAGCGTTTTTCGATTTTAGTTTTTATAATTCATTCATTCAACTGGTTTTTAACAATTTGTGACTATAGCGAGCTAAATAGGTGGATATGGAAAATAAATTATTATTTTCCAGGAATGAAAATTTTGAACAAAATTATGTTTTCAAAGTCGTGGCTGTCAGCCGAATCGGATCAGAATACTGTTATTTTTTAAAAAAGCACCCCGTTTTTTATAAGCATTTGAATCTCAGATAGTTACGTAGTTCTTATCTTATTAAAGGTCAGACCTATAGCTT